TAAATAATGGTGACCTGGATTAGGGAAATGACAGTAGAAGTGGGAAATCTTAGATGTTTCTAAGGAATTACTACAATTTAGTTATAAGTCCAATGTGAGGGATATAGAAATAAGAACCGTAAAGACTTCTTTTGGAAATGATTGGTTAAATTTGTTTACATATAAATGGTTAATAAGTTTGAAGAAATACCCTTGTGACAATGTACAGGATAACTGGAAACTTGGTTTCGGATATTTATTTGGCTTTCCCAATAATGCAGACTCAAATGTATAATGTGCAAAGATGTATAATGTGCTTTTGGGAAAGGGTACATACAGGTTTCACTAGTAAGATGTAAAAAATTTGGTTTTTAAGTTAAGTATAAATTTGTTAGAAATATGATTACAAACTGTTTGCTATTCTGCAGTCAGGTGAAATTACTTTGAAATGCATAAAGAAATGATGGATAGATATGTGATAAATCAAAATAGCAAAATGTTGATTGTAGACTTTTGATGTTGGGCACATGGATGTTCACTTTAAAACTCTTAACTTTTCTGTATATTTGAAAGTTTTAATAGTAACACATTAGAAAAGTGGAGATATAAACAGTTTGTTAAAGGCTAGTCTTGAGAATTTCTCTTCCCTGACCTGAGACTTTTGTTTTCTCTGTAGGAACTTTCCGCTGTACTTTTTGCAGTACAGAGGTAGAAGAAGATGAATCAGCAATGCCCAAAAAAGATGCACGCACACTTTTGGCAAGGTTTAATGAACAAATTGAGCCCATTTATGCTTTGCTTCGGGAGACGGAGGATGTGAACTTGGCCTATGAAATACTTGAGCCAGAACCCACAGAAATACCAGCCCTGAAACAGAGGTGAATTTAGGCCCTGTGCTCTTCACGAAGAGCACTTTTAACCTTGCCCTTGTGTTAACTGTCTGTGCTTTGGAGAGCATGGGTAGGTAATCAATTTACCAAGAGACTAAAGACTAACAGTTACATAGATTCCAGCTCTGCCACACTTGTCTTATTAACTCGTGCCTGTGATGAAGTTTGTTTGTACTGAATGCAGAACAGTGTGGGCCTTAGGCAAAAATCTTTAAATAGTCATGTTTGACTTCAAGTACTCACTCTGCTTAGGCCTGCTGCAACTCAGCCAATTGTTAGCTAATCCTAAATTGGTTGTGCCTCTTGGGGATATTTGAATTTTCCTAGCCAAGTTCTGAAGGCTGAAGTTCTTTAAGGAATACAGCTTTCACATTTTTGTGTTTGAAGCATTTTAACTACACATTTCTTGCCTGCCTTAATTTTCAGTGCAACTTTCTTTAAAGTGAAGTAAAGTAGGCGTTACCTATGGTTTAATACTTCTAAACTATGGCTCTCTATTTTTATGTTGTACCCTAATATTTGAATTGCAGAGGCAGCCTTAGTTTTGCCATTCCATGAAAAGTTGGTTATATTCTTGTTTTGAAAAGCATACATGACAAGTGTTCTCCTACCGTACCTCTTTTCTTTTTTCTCCTCGTGTCGAGCTAAGAGCTTATAGTTTATACCCTTCCATAGAACCCTGTAGTTCAAGTTGTAACTGTCAAGTTGTAACAGTAGTTTTGAGGAGCTCTCTTAGTATTTTATACCCTCTGGTATTGACACTACAGAAAAGCCAATTCTGGGCAGTCCTGAATAAATTGAGTTTCTTTTTGGTGCTTAAAAACAATCCAATTGTACAGAAAGTTTTGTATCTGTACAAGGTATTATGAATTTTCTAGTCTAGCACTGTGGATCTGTTAGGATGCCTTTACCTGTGACAACTGAAAACCGAACCAGAAATAGCTTGAGCGTAAGAGAAACCTCTCTAGCATGACCAGAAGTCCCGAGGAGTACAGTTCAGGATTAATTTCACAGCTCAGTTACATCCTCAAGAATCTAGATTTGTTCCATGTTTATAACTCTGCTGAACTCAGCCTGTTGGTTGTCCTCTTGGGACCATGAGAGGAGCTAGCCTAAGATGGCCAAGTCTTGCTAGGTATCACAAATAGATGAAAATGTCCAAATGCAGAAAAAAGGGACTGCCCCTTCTTTGTGTCCTATTTTAAGATTGAAGAAGTCTTCCCCAGAGGGACCATCATCCTACTGTGTCCCCCAGTGCCTCACTGGGCGGCATTGCTTTATATGCTTATTTCTTAACTAGCCTCTAGCAAAGGATATGAGATCACAAGACTGGCACTTAGACTAGTTAAAGTTTACCTCCTAGGGCTGGGGAAGGTCCCAGAGTTCTTTGGAGCAAATAGCTATCAGTATTTGAATAAAACCAATAAGCAAAGGAGCCACAGTTGGTAGGCAACCAGTATCATCCTTATCACTGATAGCCTTAAGTTTTTGTTACTGGTTATTTGGTCTCCTATCAAGAATTAATTTTTTTATATCTTTTTCTGACCACTTATGTAATACTGTAACTTTTAACATAGAAGCCTATGAGGGAAATTGATTTTACAAATACATAATTTTCTAAGTCTGTGGGCTATTTCAAGTTGAAGTATACGTTAACATTCTCTCTGATTGCTTTCTACACAATATAATACTATCTGAGACTTGTTCTTCTGTTTCCTCTTCTAACTATAGTTATTTTCCTGTTTACCAAGGTACTTCCCCACTACAATAGCATTCGTTTGCCACCACTGGCATCCTGTCTCTAATGTTCCCCACCTACCACAGTCCACCTCCCCGTTCCAGATCTTTATTTAGCTATCCCTCACTCCATGCCAGAGATAAGTCTGAGCGGTAAGCAACACCAGAGGCCCAGTAACAACTCACTGTATCAAGTTGCTTGGCTTCCTGTTAGGAATGATGTTAACTCCAGGGATGAAGAAGAACCAGGAAACAGGAAATAAACTGATCAGGAAAGAGGCTTTCCAAACAACCTGGTTACTAGGAAAGAAAGGGGGAAGTGGAGGCAACAAAAATGGGGTACCTGGAGCTGCCAGCCAGAACAAAGTACAATTGTTTCCATGTGGTTAGGAGAAAGACCATTGGGGCTAGGTTATAAGGTGTTACCCTGGCTGAGATGGCTTTACTAAGCATNGTCCTCCACAACTAGACTGAAGAACAAAAGGACAGCAACTTGTCTGTTCCCCTTCCCCTGATTCCCCAGCACTGTTCCCCTCCCCCAATTCCCCAATAAAATCTTTAAAAAAAAAATTGAGGAATTGGGGGAGGGGAACAGTTTTAGGTAATCAGCCAAGTTGTTGTTCTTCAACCTTAGTTGTGTAGGGCGCCAGTTGTCATCTAACTGCATGTCAGCAGCTTGTGGTCTCTAAGCTCAAGGTGCTGTGTTACAATCTTAGTTGCAGGTGGGCGGGAGTTGAACCAGCTGCCTTGTTGTTAAGAGCGCACACTCTATCCACTGAGCTATCCGGGCGGCAGCTCAGCTCAAGGTGCCGAGTTCAGTTTTAGTTGTAGGTGGGTAGTCTTAGTTGTGGGCAGGCGTAGCCTACCATGAAAAAGATGGTCTTGTTTTTAATATAACGTGTGCTCTCACCAGCTGAGCCATCCTGCCACCTGTTGGCAGCTCAGTGGCAGCTCAGCTCAGGTGCTGCATCACTGGCCCATGTGGGAATTGAACCAGTGGCCCTGTTGCTCAGAGCTCGGGCTCTTAAGCCAACTCTTAACCAACTGAGCCACTCGGCCGGCCCCTGAAATTCCTTTTTGTTATAGGTAGAATAATTATAGGAAATACATAATTATGTTCTTGTCATGTCTGTTACTATTTTATGATAGCAATTCTTTTTTTTCCCCATACATTTTCTTTGCCCAATTAAAGTGAAACAATTTGCTTTATGAAATAAAGTTTGGAAATTAGAATAAAGGTGAAGGTGACAGTTTGAGACTAGCATTTTAATATGTATGTCCCTGAACATTGAGTTATAGAAGTTATAACTTGAGAATGCTTTCAAAGAATAGCCGAAAAATGACTATAACTTCTGCATATTAGTGAAGAGGGAGTTGAGTGCTTTTGGAGGATTCAAAATAACATTTGTTTTATTCTAAAAATACATAAGTAATATATCAATGTAAATTTAAGGACTCAAATAGTACAGTCTATTTAGAGACTATTTCTACCAATCTCCCCCATGGTCACCCCATAACAGACACACTGGTCATCTTATCTGTGTCCCGCTTGCAGCAGGTGTGCCTTCACTTTACTTGCCTTTTCACATGCTGTTTCCTCTCGACCAAATATCTGTATGCCTGGTCTTTTAAGTCTTTGCTCACTCATTGCTATAGCAGAGAGGCCCTCCCGGAGTTTCCTGTATATAATAGGGCAATACTCCTTTCTATTGTCTTCCTTTTTTTATCCTCTTACCCTGCTTTGTTTTTCTTCATTATACTTATCAACATCCGATGTTATGTTTTGTCTTGACTGCTCTCCCCTAGAGTGTGATCTCCACAAAAGCAACTCCGAGGATGATGGGCTCGACTTAGGAAGGCAGGATGGTGGGAAGTCCTTGGGACATCAGTCCAGCTATGCTGGAGGAGCGCTCGCAGCAGTGAACATTTGATCCCCCCTGTTTCCTGGGCCTGCTTTGCGGACTTGCCTGCAATGTGACTCCTACTTGGGCACTGCAGCACCTGTGCCTTACTTAGCAAAGGAATTCAGCTTATTTATTAATTTATTTTTTTATGATATGAAAATTGCTGAATAATATTCCAGTTGCAACTAATACCTCTGACAAACCTTTGACAGTGAATTCTGGACATTAGCTGATGACCTATTCATTGTACATACCAGAATGAAGAAGGAAAATACAATCCTAAATTTGACTCATATTTTCTGCCCTTTTCCTCAATTATATAAATTCCCAAAGCATTTTCCTCTTTTCAAACTAAGGAGGGTTTCATTTATTTTCTCATTTTGGAGCGATACTTATCTTCGATTGAAGAATCCTGAGTCATAGAATGGGACATTCATATGCTACTGAATTGACAGCCCTAAAATATAATTTTGAAATATCTATTTGTAAAATATATTTTTTTTCCTTCTTTTAACACCTGTTATCTACAACTGGATATATTTTGATCCTCTGGCAAACTTAGGACTCAGCTGAGTAAATGCCAGGTATGTGATAGGCACTTAATGTTTGTTAAATAAACATTACAAATCCTCTCTCCTTCTGGTCCATATTTTAAGAAATTAGAGCCTATGTATATACATGAGGAAAGTTTGCTAAATTGTATCTGACAGGGATGATAGGAGGTTGGGAAAGTGATGTGTAATTCAGGATGGTACTGTGCATTTAGTCTTGAGTTAGAAAGATTTGTATTTCAATCCAGGTTTAGTGATTTTTGATTTTAAGTTATGATCCAGTAAACTTAACCTCTCTGAGTCTTTTTATTTTTATTTTTATTATTATTAGTTTCAGGTGTACAAAACAAAGTAATGGTTAGACATTTCACCCCTCACAAAGTGATAACCCCCTTCCCCAATCTATTGCCCCTCTGACATCGTATATATCTAGTTCAATTCCATTGACTCTATTCCCTATACATACTCCACATCCTGTGACTAT